ACACACACACACACACACACACACACACACACACACACACAGGTTGAAGGATACAGCAGCTGCTCAGTGTGTGCTTGGTATCTGGACAACATGACGGTACAGGCTCCACATCCTCCCTCAGCACAGCCCAGTTTAGTCCCAGTTAGACCCACTGAGGATACAGAGGACACAAAGGACACAGGGGACACACAGAGGACACACGGGACACACAGGGGACACAAAGAGGACAGAAAGGACACAGATGGGACACAGAGAGACACAGAGGACACACAGGGGACACACAGAGACACAGTGAGTGTACATTAACAGCTCTGTCTGATCTTCTTCAGCTCTCAGAGTCTTTCTGACCTTCAGACTGTTTAGATTTAACCTGCTGTTTAATAATCGTCCATATCTGTGGACATTTCTGCTCATCCTCGACTTCTGTCCACATGCCCCGTCCTCAAAAGGACAGCTGTAAGGTCACTCCTGAACACGAACATTTTAGCGGAGCTGACAGAGGCTGGAAACATTTTTGTGTAAATGGACACCTCAAAGTCAGTATGGCTCTGTGGGGACATCTAAGATGAGTTGCCCCCACATGGACACCTGGAGGGGATGGGCAGCTGTCCTCAAAGAGGTTCTAGGGTTCTTTAAGAACATCCCAGTTGACCTTGAGAACGTTCCAGTGAAGCCTCATTACCTTTCCTGGAGGTTTCAGGTGTTCCAGGAGTCCTTGAGGACCCTCAAAAGGCTCTTGTAAGTTACCACAGGTCCCTGAGGATGTTCCAGACATCCTCTAACACCTGCTTTGGTTCTTGAACCGGTTCTGTTGAGGATTCTTAAACCTCGGTGCAATTTAAAGCCCCAGCAGGTTTCCATCAGATCATTGTAACAAATCAATGAGACACTACACGCTCTTTAAGACACACCCACTGATGACATCACTGAACGTCTGGTCAGAGAACACCTGGTGTGTCCTTGGTTCCAGGTGAGATCTGAATCTTCAGGATGTGAACCAGTTAATCTGAACGGTTTGAAACCAGGCTCAGGAACAGAACCAGTTCCATGTTGGTGTCTGAGAGGTTTCCAGGGTCCTTGAAAAGGATCCAGGAAAGCTCTGTAACCTGAGCTGATGTCCTAAAGACATTCCAGGACTCTATGAGTCCTGGAATGTCTTTAGGACTTCCCAGGACAGTAACCGTGGCAACAGGAGACCTGAAGGACACTGAGGACACCGAGGTGTCTCCTGACGTCCATGAAGAGGTTCCAGGTCTGAAGTTTGTTTGGACTTTGATCAGCTGATGGTGACATCACAGTCACTGACCTCACAGTCACTCATCAGGTTTCCATGGAAACATCAATAAACCAAACAGGAACTGTTGTGTCCACAGCTCAGCAAGACACAGTCCTTTCAAAATAAAACACTCTTTCTTATTTCAATCTGAAAATCTTTCTGCTGCACCACAGATCTGATCAGACGAACAAACATCTGACTGAATGATGGAAACAGGAAGTGTGATGTAACCATGACAACGACATGAGGACAGAGTATATTGTGTGTGATAGTGTGTTTATATGTGTGTATTTTTATGTATGTGTGTGTATGTTCATACGTTTCCTCCTCAGGTAAGTCAGTAGACTCATCTCAGGATCTGGGTTCTTCTCAACGACCTGAAGAACAAAGTACAAAGAAAGAAATATTAGATCCTGAACAGTATGACGAAGACGTGACTGTGGACGAAGACGTGACCATGAATCAATCAATCAAACTTTATTTGTATAGCACTTTTCATACATTAAAAATGCAACAAAGCGCTTCACAGAATAAAAACATACAACAAAAATATTTCACACATATTGACTGTGGATGAAGATGTGACTATGGACGAAGACGTGACTGTGGATGAAGATGCGACTGTGGATGAAGACGTGTGTGTGGACGAAGACATGACTATGGACGAAGACGTGACTGTGGATGAAGATGTGACTGTGGATGAAGTCGTGACTGCGGATGAAGATGTGACCGTGGATGAAGACATGACCGTGGATGAAGACTTGACTGTGGACGAAGACGTGACGTGGATGAAGACGTGACTGTGGACAAAGACGTGACCATGGACGAAGACGTGACCACGGATGAAGACATGACAGTGGATGAAGATGTGACTGTGGACGAAGACGTGACCGTGGATGAAGACATGACTGTGGATGAAGACGTGACCACGGATGAAGACATGACTGTGGATGAAGACGTGACCACGGATGAAGACATGACAGTGGATGAAGACATGACTGTGGATGAAGACGTGACCGTGGATGAAGACATGACTGTGGACGAAGACGTGACCGTGGATGAAGACATGACTGTGGACGAAGACGTGACCACGGATGAAGACATGACAGTGGATGAAGATGTGACTGTGGACAAAGATGTGACCGTGAATGAAGATGTGACTGTGGATTAAGACGTGTGTGTGGACGAAGACGTAACTGTGGATGGAGACTTGACTGTGTATGAAGACATGTCTGTGGACGAAGACATGACTGTGGACAAAGACATGACCATGGATGAAGACATGAACGTGGATGAAGATGTGACTGTGGATGAAGATGTGTCTGTGGATGAAGATGTGACTGTGGATGAAGACGTGACTATGGACGAAGAAGTGACCGTGGATGAAGACGTGACTGTGGACGAAGACGTGACCATGCACGAAGACGTGACCACGGATGAAGACATGACCGTGGATGAAGATGTGACTGTCGACGAAGACGTGACCACGGATGAAGACGTGGGCGTGGATGAAGACGTGACTGTGGACGAAGACGTGACCATGGATGACGACATAACCGTGGATGAAGACATGACTGTGGACGAAGACGTGACCGTGAATGAAGATGTGACTCTGGATGAAGACGTGTGTGAGAACGAAGACGTAACTCAATCAATCAATCAATTTTATTTATAAAGCCCAATATCACAAATCACAATTTGCCTCACAGGGCTTTACAGCATACGACATCCCTCTGTCCTTATGACCCTCACAGCTGATCAGGAAAAACTCCCCCAAAAAAACCCTTTAACGGAGAAAAAAAACGGTAGAAACCTCAGGAAGAGCAACTGAGGAGGGATCCCTCTTCCAGGATGGACAGACGTGCAATAGATGTCGTACAGAACAGATCAGCATAATAAATTAACAGTAATCTGTATGACACAATGAGACAGAGAGAGAGACAGAGAGAGAGATGCAGGTAATGACAGTAGCTTACAACAACATTATTGAAAGTAATAATATTATAGTTATAGTTCTGGCTACTGTGGTACAATATGTTGAAAGTATATATTAATATCTGGCAGTATACATGTGTGA